TGAACCCACTATGTACCTGAGGCTGTCCTCAAATTCACAATGATCCTCCTGCCTCAGCCTCTCAAGTGCTGAGATTACAGGCATGTGCCACCATGCCTGGCTAGTCTGGAAAAATCTTTAGTCAGTAAAATGAAACAATCATAACAAATCCTTCACCGCTTTATGTCCAGTGTATTGAAAACCACTGTTATATATACCTTTTTTAGTCTTTTGGATTTTGCAGGTAGGTGGACAATTCTAGTCCTTCTTTACCTTGATCTGAAGTAGGACTCTATTCACTTACTTATTGATTTACTTGGGTTTTTTGGATATGTAGTCATTGAGTTTTGTTTTTAAAATTTGTCTGCCGATTCTTATTGAGTTCTTTTTCTGTTTGGGTAGTTTTTCAGTTGACCTCATTTGCCTTGGGTGGAATGTTTAAGTGAGAATAAACTTTGGTGTGTGAAGGTGCTGAGATTTTGAGGGGGCTTGTTAGTGAAGCATTGTGCAGCCATCCGCACTGTAGGTGCTCATTAAAGGATTTTCCATACATTCAGGTAAAATCCCTTGGCCCCTGGAGTGGAAATAGAAAGTCAAAGCAAAAAAGAAACAATGGCATTTTGCAGTGTTATAGAACTTGCTTGTGTATGCTTTTAAAATTAATGCTTGCGTTTGTTCTCTTTTTCTTCTCATTTGACAGCTACATCCCCTCATGACCACCTGTGTACCTCAGATGCAGTGATGAAGATGAGACAAAATGGATTTGGTCATCTTGGGTCACCCAGTGTGCTTTCAGCAGAGGCAAAGAGGATATTGTTGCCATCAATTACCTCTTCACTGACTTCAGTTAGACTGTGTACGTGTTCCAGGATGATTCCTCCCACACCAAGTTCCGTGGTACAGTCAAAGTTGAGAACAGGAGACTTGTAATCAATGGAAAGTCTAGGAGTGGGCTCCTATCAACATCAAAATGGGTGAACTGGCGCTCAGCATGCTGTAGTCTATAGGTCTCTTCACTACCAGTGGAGACAGCTGGGGCTCTCTTGAAGGATGAAACTAAAAAGCTAATTGTCTGTCCCTTCTGGTGATGCCTCCTACTTGTGATGGGCATGAACCGCCAGAAGTATGGGACTGTCAGCAGTGCTTCCTATGCCACCAACTGCATAACCCTCTTGGCCAAGGTCATCCACAAAACTTTGGCATTGTGGAGGGATTCATTCCCATAATTCAGGTCATCATTGCCATGCAGAAAACTGCATGGCTCTTCTGGAAAACTGTAGCATGACGGACATGTGGCTGTCCAGAACATCATGTGCTGGTACTGCTACTACCATGGTGCAGATTGTCCCTGAGCTGAATGCCAAGATTACTGGCTTAGCTTTCTTTGGGCCGACTCCCAGCGTGTCAGTAGTAGATCTGTCTAGAGAAGACTGAAAACTATGATGACATCTATAAGGTGGTGAAACAGACCTTGGAGGACCCCCTAATGGGCAGCCTGGGTTATAGAAGACTGACTTTTTTCCCTTGTGACTTTAACAGTGACACTCCTTCTTCCATCTTTAATGCTGGGGATGACACTACTCTCAGTGATCACTTTGTCAAATTCATTTCATAGTATAATAATGACTTTGGGTACAGCAGCAAGATGGTGGACCTTATGGTCTGCATTGCACCCAAGGAGTGGGCCACCAGCCTGAGTAAGGAATGAAAAGAGGGAGGCTTTAAGCTAAGGAAGAGTCCTGCCCAAACTCAGTTCCCCAACACTCTGAAATCTCTCCTCCTATGGGTTCCTGTGCCAGACCTCCTGAAGAAGGGGGAGGTTTAGGTATCCCTACTTTGTCATGTACCATTAATAAAGTCCACTGTGCCACCGAAAAGTTTGTACGATGCATTTCCCACATACTTTAATTTTCTTTGTATCTATTTTGCTGAGATTGAAATGAGTGTTTTGTTTATATTTTGGGTGTGTTCACTGTACTAATTTCTGCCTTTTAACTGGTACGCTCTGATGATTTCTACTTAAAGTAATTATTGATATGTTAGAGTTTAAGTCTGACAATTTATTTTGTTATATTTGTGTCCTCTGTTCCTTATTTCTTGCTTTGTAGAATATGGGGACTTTTTTGGGGTATTTAAAGGATTTTTTTCTTGCTTCTTATATAACATTTTATAAAATACTTCTATATAGTCTTTCTTTCACTTTTTTATTTTACAAAGAAAAAAATGCTAGAAACAATGATACAAACTTTCAAACCAAGGTAGAAGGAGAATAACAATGGTTAGTACATTGCTCATTGTTATCTTCAGAGTAGTTATTCAGATTACAAGATATAGTCATGAAGAAATTGATCAAATGATATAAGCACAAAACTTTCTTCTCAATGAACTAATAGAAATTAGTAGTATAGCTATATTAACTATCTTGTATAAAGGTATTTCCTTTTCCTTTTACCTTCCTTCTTTTCTCCTTTCCCCCATCCCAGTTTCTCTTTTCTTTTGAAGTTTCTTCCCATTTTCCAATATCTATTGTATATGTAGTCTTCTTAGTAGTTATTCTGTTAATTTTTAACAGTCTACATTTTACAGTATCAGGGTTAGGTCCTCTTATCTCCCTCACTTTTAAATATAGTTATCTTGAATCCCAGATTGTACAATAATTTTTGTATAAGTCACTCGATACTATTTATTTCACTAAATATTTCTAGTCAGTCTATGTATATCTAACTGTACTTTTTCTGTTGTTGTGTCTTCCTTTTTCATACTCCAAGAGTCCTTCTTTTATCATTTCTTCTCCATTTAAAGAACATCCATTAGCCATACTTCAAGAGTAGGTCTGCTAGTGATGAATACTGTACTGTATATTTTCTCGGGCAGAGACTACCTTAATTTCCTTTTCATTCCTGAAGAAAATTTTGCTGGGTATAGAATTCATGGCTGATGGGTTTCTTTTTTCTTTCAATATTTAAAAAATGTTGGGCTGGGGATTTAGCTCAGCGGCAAAAGCGCCTGCCTGGCAAGCGCAAGGTCATGAGTTCCGTTCCTGGTACCGGAGAAGAACCAAAAAAAAAAAAAAAAAAAAAAAAAAATGTTGTGTACCTTCACCTGACCTGGTCTCCCCAGTTTCTGACGACAAATTCACTGTTATTAAGCTGAATATTTCCTTATGGATCTGTTTTTATCTTATCATTTTTTGTCTAGCTGCTTCCAACATTTTTTCTTTAGCTTTTGGAAGTTTAATTATTCTGTGTCTTGGTATGAGTGTGCGGGGGCTTACCCAGCATCTAAATCAGTAGTATTAAGTATTTTGGCAAATTTGGGAAGTTTTTAGATTACATCTTCAAATTCTTTCACTCCTATTGTCTTTACCTGTTCTTCTGGAACTCTGATAGTAAACCTATTCTATCTTTTGTTACTGTCCCAAAGGTCCCTGAGCCTCTGGTTTTTTGTTTTTGTTTTTTTTCTAGTTTATTTTCTCATTGTTGTTCAGATTTGTTCTCTGTTGCTCAGATTCAATAAATTATCTGGCTCTACTCTCATTTGTACTGATTTTCTCTTTCTTGATTTCCATTCTACTTTTGAGAACACTCAGAAATTTTAAAAAATTTTCTTTTACACTAACTTCCAGTTACTTAATTTTCCTATGATTCTTTTAGTAGCTTCTATTTTTTGCTGAGATTTCATGTTGTTTCATTTGTTCTAAAGGAAACTGATTTTTGCTGAAGCATTTTTGTGGTGCCTGCTGAAATATTCTTCCTTGCTAGTTAGTTCCAATATGTGATCCAGTTGATTCTCTTTCCTGATTCAAGGTGTAACATTCCTGGTTCTTAGTGTAATGGGTTATTTAGTGATTTATTTATTTATTGGTACTGGGAATCGAACTCATGACCTCAGGCTTGCCAGGCAAGCACTTATGCTGCTGAGGTATATCCCCGGCCCTGTAATGGATAATTTAAAAATATTTGATCTGGAACATTTTGGCTATTATATCAGGTGACTCTGAATCTTGTCTTCTTTTAACAGTGAGTTACTCTGTTCAAATTCAACACAAATGTCTTAGTCAATACATTTGTCTTGGCTTTTGTGAGTTGTGGGTCCATTGATAATTGATTTTCAGAGCATTATGGTATAATTTTGTCCTGTTGGTCTATTTTCTGCTGCTAGAATAAGTTGACAGTTGGATTTAATAGAGATCAGAAGTCTCAACTCTCATTCTTTTCTAAAAAATGTAAAACACTATTTTTTGGTGGTAAAATCTGTATAATATGAAATTTAGCCAGTTTAAGTGGATTTTAGTGGCATTAAATACACTCACATTGTTGTACAACCATCAGCATTGTACACCACTGGAACACATTGAGACTCCACACCCACTGAACACAGGCTTCCCATTTCGCCCTCTCTCTGACTCCTGGTTACCACCACTGTTTTCTGTGTCCATGAATTTGACTACTCTAGTTTCCTTATCTAAGTGGCATCACAGAGTATTTGTCCTTTTATGACTGACATTTCACTTAACATAGTGTCCTCAACGTTCATCCATGCCAGAGCATGTCAGAATTTCTAGGATTTTTTTTTGTGAAATGATACTTTTCCTACTTACAGAATTCTAGCTTGGTATTTTATCCTTGAGTATGTTCAAGATGTAGTTCCACTGTCATCTTTTAAAGGCAACTCTATCATGACCAGAGTCATAACCAGCCACTGAAAGTTTCTAAAATTCTTTGAACCAACCCTTGTGTTTTCCATACAACTTCTCATCACTGAGTTGGGGCCTACACGGCACCTTCTATTCTTAAGCCTCATCAAGACTGAATTATTTGCCTCTTTTCCTTGTCTTTCATACGAGGTGTTTACGTTTCAACTTTGGTCTCTTCTGCTGTCCTAGTTACCACTAATCCATCTTCTTTCCATCTTTTGAAAACGTAATCAATGATTTACTCTCTTGTTTTTTTGTGGAGTATCAGATTTAATTCCAGATGCTTAACCAGAGGCTAAATACTCATTCAATACTGTAGAGCTAACATATCTGTAGCACAAACACCTGATAACAATGCATAAAAATAAGTCTATTTTATGTAATATCCATGTATTGGTAAAAATTCCAAAAATAATTTTATTATGCTTGTAAGAGTAAACATCTTAACATAATTCAGCAAGTTTGATTCAGAGATGTATCAAACAACAACAACCAAGCACCAATATCAGTTTATTTTAGGAATATGATCCAATGAAATCAGATTATCTATGTAATTGTAAATTAAAAGAACAATGTTACATGATTAAATAGATGCTGTAGAGGCATCTGATAAAACGTAGCACCATTCTTAGTAAGTAAGCAAAATAGAAATAGAAACTACTTATACTTCACAAAGATGATCCAAACACTGCAATAGAAGTCAGAAAACTGGTTTGTGGGCCAAATCTAGATCACTATTTTTAAAAATACAGTTTTATTGGAATACAGACATACTGGTTCCTTTATGTATTGTGTTTCCCATCATAGGGCTTTTGAATATGCTTTTCTTGTTCCCTGACTTCAGCTTTTAGAAGATCTCACTTCAGTGTAGTCATTTCAGAGAGCACTTACTGAGTACTAAAGATCTATTTCTGTATTTTTTCAATCTCCGTATCTTGGTTCTTTATAATACTCATTACAATGTACAACAGAAATTGAGTCAAGCAGGTTCATTACTACATCTTTGATCTATTTGTTGACTAGATGAATATACAGGATTAGGAGTTTTTCTAGGCCGTCATCAGCAAAATATGACTGGGATTTTAAACCTGGATAATGACCTTCCCATGTAAATAACTGTTTGTTGTTATGCAAAATCAGTCAGTATAATTCACTACTTTGTTTTCTGATTACTTGATAAATACTTAGTGATTAACTGTAAGTTCCAGGCTTCAGGGGTGGGGATGATGAGAACAGAAATGGATGATACTATTTCTGACTTCAAAAAGCTTACACTGTGGTAGGAGACATAATCGGTGGCTACAGTGGAATACGAAATATAGGAAAGTGTGAAAGGGGGAGCCCTCACTGACTCCTGAAGGGTAAGAGATTAGAGTGAATCCGGGAGAAGATACTGCTGAGCTGGATTCTGAAAGCACATCTTATTGTGCTCCTGGTACTGTATGAGTGTTTTACATATTAATGCCTAGTATAATGCCAGGAGCACCTGAAGCCCTAAGAATTTTACTTAGGAATAGGTGTTAACCATAGAATCCAGTGTGTGTGTGTGTGTGTGTGTGTGTGTGTGTGTAAATTCGTGCCAAGAAAAAAATAACATGGGAAAGGAGCAGAGGTGAGAAAGAAACGGTCCATTTGAAGAGATGCAGTGAAGCCAGGTTGGCAGGAGGAGAAGGCACACACTGGGAGAGGGGCAGGTGGTGAAGCTGTCCAGGGTGGCGGCCAGATCAGGAAGGGCATATGCTGTACAGCGCGGGTTGTGGGGGGCATCGGAGAACAACGGAGCTGAAATCATCACAACAGCCACTGGAGAAAACACGCTGAGCGTTTGCTGTCAGAAGTGGGTATGTGCTGTGTCAGAAGATCTGATGGATCCTTAGATCAAACTTCTTTTGCAAAGCATAGTCTTCTTTAATTCTGAGTTTACAATTACTCTTTTTTCCCCCAGAGAGAAATTTACTTTGATGCATGACAATCAAGCGCTGTCTGTATAACCACTTTTAGAATACTTTCAACACTGCCTGCTACAACTGTGTCTGCGGGGAGAGGGAAAGGCTCTGTAACTTGCTTGGAAAACCTCCTTGCACATGATTTCTCCCAGGTAGAGGACTGGGGCATGAGGGTAAGACCTCTGAGTCTTGAATGTGCCTTTGTCTCCCTCTTTGGAGCTAGGGACAGTCTGGG